GAGAAGCTGTCCCAGAAGCCCAGAAAGCAGAGGGGATGTGGGCAACCCCCACACTTTACAGCTGGGGACATGGTGCCCCTGAGAGTCTCCCCCAAAAGGGAGGCTAAAAGAGTCCTCACTAAAGAGTATTTTCCAATCAGAAGTCTTGACTCCTGCTAAACCTTGGCCCAGGGCTCCAGAGGGCAGCTCCCCCCACCCCGGGTTTGCTCAGCCCAGTTCTTGAGGGAGCAGCAGGAGGGATGGGGAAGCCAGAAAAAAATCCCCAAATAAGGCTCCCAAGAGGCCTCCTGAGGCCCCGCCCCCTCTCTCCTGTCTCCGCCTCCCAGCAGGTGCCATGGGATGCTCACTCAGACCCCTGACCCCACCATTGCCCCAAACCCCCTATGGCTCTGAGGAGAGAGGTGCCCACATACCCAGCAAACTCATGAGCCCGCCCAGCCCTCCAGCTGTGTCCATTCTCCTTATCCTATCACCCACGAGGTGGCAAGAAGCCCTGTGATGAGGACACGGAGCCTCGAAGGAGCCCCCTGAGACCTGCTTGCCCCTGGCCCAGCCTGCTGCCCCCCAAAATGAATAACATGAGCCACAGAGCAGCCCCAAGGTGGGCTCCCAGAGGCCACGCTGGAGCCAAGCTGTCCTGGGCCCCCTGAGGCCCTGTGACAGCCCCCGAATGGATTCCAGGTTGGGCAGGAGATGTGGGAGAAGCCATGGTCCCCACAGAGCCCTCCCCAGCGCCCACCTTGTTCTTCAGGTCCTCGATGGTGTGGTAGTAGTGGCTGTAGTCGCGGGCGGGCCCCGGGGCCTGCTTCTGGTACCAGTCCCGGATCTTCACCTCCAGCTCCGTGTTGGCCTCCTCCAGGGCGCGCACCTTGTCCAGGTAGGAGGCCAGGCGGTCGTTGAGGTTCTGCATGGTGGCCTTCTCGCCTCCCGCCAGCAGCCCGTCGACACCCCCAAAGCTGCTGCCATAGCCACTGCCAGAGCCGAAGCTGTAGCAGCTGGAGTAGCTGCCGCTCCCCAGGGCACTGCCCAGGGAGCTGCCCAGGCCACTGGCAGACCCCAGCCTGCAGGAGCCGGCACCCAGGCCGCTAGACAGCCGGCAGGAGGTGCGGGATGAACCCCCCAGGCCGGAGGAGCCCTTGATGGAGCTGGAGGAGGTGAACTGGCGGATGGTGGTGGTCATGGTGGTGGCAGTGGGTGGCAGGCAGGCACAGAGAGGACTAGAGAGGAGAGAAGCCTGAGGTGCCTTTGTGGCTGGGGCTCGCCTGCCTCCTTTATAACAGGCCGAGTGGTGGGCGGGGGCAGCGATGACAATAGGCTTGCTCCTCTTTCCATTCCCCTGGGCTTTCATCACCCCTGGCGGGCGGCCAGCTCCCAGGTGCCTGTGGGCCCCCTCCCCTCCCACCACCGGGGCTTTGCCTCATTTCTCCGAAACCCCTATGCTGGGTGTTTGCATGTGCGTGTGCGTGTCTCTGTTCTTAAGCCCGTCACCTGTGATTCAGGCAGGCCCTCGAGCTACGCTTTCCCATGACCTAATACGGGGAAGAGGAGAGGCAGGACGTCACCGTCCCAGGCCCTCCCAGGCGGCTGCCACCCCAGCCCAGCCCACCTGGCCCCTGGGCCTGGTAGGGAAAAGGTTGGGGAACCCGGCAGCTCCCCCACCCCCAGCCTGAGGTTACTGTTCAACGTACCGGCCCAGGGCTGGGGGCTGGGGAGGCCGCGAGGATGGAGCCCCCATCCCGCTTGGCACCTGGACCTAAACCACGAGGCTCAGCACACAACACAGTCACGCTGTCAGGTTTCAGATGACCACCCCGTTTTATAGCTAAGGAGACGGGGGCTTGAGGGGGATCGTGTCCCGCTGCCCCCCACACCTGCAGAACTGGGCTGGCAGCATTTCACTCCTCATCCCACAGCTCCAGACCCCTCCCCAAGGGACCCAGCCACTCTGCCCCCCTCTGCCCAGCCCTGACCCCAGGGGAGCGCTCCTAGGGGCTACAAGTCCATCTGGCCAGTGTTCTGACCTGCCCCAACCCCGGGACTCCCTAACAGGGGGGCAAAGAGGAGCTTAGCTACCAGATGGGTAAATGATCACTGGGGAGAGAGCCTCGTGGTAAAAGGGAACTAGGAGAACCGACGGCCAGGCCCCCTTCCACCTCCCTAGCCCTCCTACACCCCAAGAGGCCTCAGGGTAAGGTGAGGGCATGCACCTTCGCATTCCTGAGACCCTCCCAGCCAGTCCCCCCACACACACAGCCTTCCCCTGACAAGGCCCTTCCGGATGGACCCTGAGCTGCCCTACAGCGCTCCCCTGCCCAGCCACCACCCCAGGCCCGGCCTGGGTCCCAGCGCACCGGCAGACAGGTTGGGCGGAATGTGGTCGTGTCTCAGGCTGCCGATGGCTTCCACTTCCCAGGCAGGCCTGGACAGCCCCCGCCAGCAGCCAACAGAGATTCCCCAATAGCCCGGCAGCTGCCAAGCACCAAAGCAAACAAGACAGCCCCCCACGCTCACTTACACAGCGGTCACCCCGCCCGACACACACCCCCGAGCTGGGCAGAGCTGGTCTGGTTTCCCGGCTGTGCCGCTGCCACCTCCTCTCACCCATCCATGTCCCGGACCACCCTTCAGGAAGCCCTGCCCCGCCTCTCTCCCCCAGACGGAGGTGAAGGCGGGAGAGTCTATAATAGACACAGCTCCCTGGGAGCTCTTGGGGCCCTCCCAGGGGCCAGCACAGGCAATGGCGACCCCAAGGGCTGCTTCTCAGACACAGTCCCAGCTTGTGGGGCTGTCCCATCCCTGAGCCAGAGGTCCTCCTGCCTCCTTCCCTCTTGTCCTTCCAGGAGCCCCAGGCCTGGTTGAGGTGGGTAGAACTGATTGGCAGGTGACAAGCACCACCCCCCAAAATTTTTTAAATATATTTTTATTGATTTCAGAGAGGATGGGAGAGGGAGAGATAGAAGCATCAATGATGAGAGAGAATCACTGATGGGCTGCCTCCTGCATGCCTCACACTGGGGATCAAGCCCGAAACCTGGGCTTGTGGCCCTGACCGGGAATCAAACCACGACCTCCTGGTTTACAGGTCGATACTCAACCACTGAGCCACGCCAGCCGGGCATCCACCACCCCAAAATTTAACAGACTCTCCTCCTCCCCCAGTCCTCCAGCCCACACCACCCTACACCAATGACCACACTGGACCCCAGGAGGCATTGAATTCAGGCCAAGCTTTAATAGTGGTCACTGGGGCCAATTCGGGAGGCCCCCCGGCGAGGGCTTTGGGAAGCAGGTACAGAAAGGCAACAGCTCTCGGGCAGTGGCCCCGACGGGCGCCTGGGGCTCAGCAGTAACGTGCTGGGGGCTGGAGGCGATGGCTGCCCCGTGGCCCTCGAGGCTGGGCTGTTGCAAGTGGGAAGGGCTCAGTGCGTAGAGCGGTGGACCTGCTCCCGGGAGGTGACCACCTTGCCATCCTGGACCTCCTCCACGATGGTGCGCACCTGGCGGCTGGTCACCGTGGCTGCAGAGGGAAGGGGGGGGGGGGCAGGGAACCTCAGGCCAGAGCCCCTCCCCCATCTCCCACACAGAAGGGTCCTCCGACTCGCCCCCCTCCCCTGGGCAGGACGGGGCAGACTCTTACCTTCCCGCGTGGGCTGTGAGGCCAGGAACGAGGAGTACTGGTTGGCCAGGCTGCAGGGAGGGAGAGGGGACCTGTCAACCCAGGGGTGATGCCTGGGAGCCCTGTCCCCCGGGAGGAGAAGCAGCTGGGGAGCCCCAGGGTGAGGGGAGAGAGGTCCCAGAAAACCAAAGAGGAATCCCAGCTGGGAGTGCACGGAAAAGAATGACAACCGCAAGGGTCAAAGGGCACAGGCCCAGTGGGCAGGAGTACAGAAAGGGGCCACCCCAACAGAGGCCCAGAGGCCCTTTGCAGCTAGCCAGGGATGTACAAGGAGAAGCTGAGCAGTTTTTCTGTATCTAGAAGGGCCCCACAAATAGACTCGATTAAAGCAAGAGAGACTGTGGTTAGACTATAGGGGGACTTCACCCTCTTCAGGATACAAAAAAGCTGGAGCACATGACTAAGCATGGAGACTCCAGGACGGTCTCAGCCCTTTTACAGCAGGGTCCCGATCCACCTTCCCAGCTCCAAACCAGATGCCGCCCTGGTCCCATCCTGGGTAATGGCGTCGCCAACCACAAGTCATGGGAACCAGAAACCCAGGCTCATCGTTACCCAGGCCTTCGCGTGCTCACTCAGCACTGATTGAGTCCCGCTGTGAGCCACGCTCGCCCCACGCCCAGGCCTTTCCCTGCCCCTGCCCCTTCCTCCCAGCAGGCGGCCGACTCCCTGCTCCAGCCTCCTGGCAGGTCCCGTGCCCCCCTGGCCTCGCTGATGCAGCTCTCCTTCTGCAGCCAGAGTGAAGGCTCTGAGACCTCTTGATCATACCCATCCGGCACAAAGCCCCTCCCTGGCACCCCCATGCCTACACCACCGAGTCAGCTGGCTCTAAGGTGGCCTTCAGTGCTCCTCTCAGCCAGACCCCAGCCAGCGGTCTCCGTGTCGCCCCCTGCAAGCCTCCACACCTCCTCCTGGCCTTTGCTGGGGCTGCCCCTGCAGTTCAGTCGCCCCTCCCTGGGCGAAGCATGTGCCCAGGTGCCCCCACTCACTGGGCGTCCTCGCCCTCCAGCAGGCGGCGGTAGGTGGCGATCTCCTGCTCCAGCCGCGTCTTCACGTCCAGCAGCACCTGGTACTCGTGGTTCTGACGCTCCATGTCACAGCGGAGCTCGCCCAGCTGCTGCTCGATGCTGCCGATGAGCCCCTGCAGCTGGGCCAGCTGCGCCCCGTAGCGCGCCTCTGTCTCCGCAAGGCTGCCCTCCAGCGATGCTTTCTGTGGGCCAAAGCGCAGGCGGATGGATAAGACGGAGGCGAGACCCTTCCCCACCCAGAGGAGGAGCCCACCGTGGGGGGTTGTGGGTGCAGCCAGTAACTAGGCGGGGTGGTAACTGGGGCAGCGAGGGGCCATGTCACTGGGTGAAGTGACATTTGTGAGGGAGTCTGGTTCTCCGAGTGGGGGTAGCCCTGGGATGGCAGGGAGGAGGCAGGGAGGCAGGGAGGGGAGGGACGGAGGCCCTACCATGCTGAGCTGGGACTGCAGCTCAATCTCCAGGTTCTGCACGGAGCGGCGGAGCTCGGAGATCTCCGTCCTGTGGCTCTGCAGGGCCTCGGTGTTGGTGGCCACCTCGCGGTTCAGCTCCTCGGTCTGGAAGCAGGTGGGCCGTGGGGGCTTGAGGAGGCTTGTGGAGGTGGGGCCGGGGGCAGGGGCCACCCCTGAGCCCTGACCTCCCGGACTTGCTCCGCCAGCACCTCGCTGGCCTCTGTGGGGCCCCAATCCTCGGTGCCCACATGGGTTCACACAGACACCCTGGGTGCCCACATGGGCCCTCAGCGGGATTCGCCCTGCTTTGCGGGCATCTGCATTAGTTGCTGCCCCCGAGCTGTGACATTGGCCAGACAGGCCTGGGTTTTATCTTTCTGTGCCTGTTCCTGTCGCTTCTCCGTGTGTCTTCTAAGGGTCTGAGTTATGCATCCAAACACACACATTTCCTACAAAGGCCTGTGCGGGAGGAGCCCTCGCTGAGGGGGAGACCTGGTTCCCCAGGCCGCACCCGAGGGTGGTGTGAGCCTGGGGCCTCTCCCGGCCTCATGATCAGCGTCTAAACTTGAGGGTTGGTCCAGCTGGTTTCCAAAGGCCCTTCCAGATGGCACAGGCTGTGCGGCTACACGTTCTCCGGCCCACACTCCGCACTCCGTACATGCACACACAGGTGCGCTCACACCTGCTCACGCATGTGTCTTCTAAGGGTCTGAGTTATGCATCCAAACACACACATTTCCTACAAAGGCCTGTGCGGGAGGAGCCCTCGCTGGGGGGGAGACCCGGTTCCCCAGGCCGCACCCGAGGGTGGTGTGAGCCTGGGGCCTCTCCCGGCCTCACGATCAGCGTCTAAACTTGAGGGTTGGTCCAACTGGTTTCCAAAGGCCCTTCCAGATGGCACAGTCTGTGTGGCTACACGTTCTCCGGCCCACACTCCGCACTCCGCACTCCGCACATGCACGCACAGGTGCGCGCACACCTGCTCACTCGGGCCACCCACCTTGGTGAAGAACCAGTCCTCGGCTTCCTTGCGGTTCTTCTCCGCTATCTTCTCGTACTGGTCGCGCATCTCGTTCAGGATGCGGCTCAGGTCCACGCCGGGGGCGGCGTCCATCTCCACGCTGACGTCCCCGCCCACCTGGCCTCGC